GATATTGAAGAGTATTGGGTCTAAGACAGAACCTTGACGTACCCCGCTGCTTCCTTCCTTCCATGTAGATGCAGTTTCATTATGGACATGCTGAGTGTGGTTTGTCAGCCAGTTACGAACCCATCTGGTGGTGGTGTTGCCGATCACACATTTTTCTAACTTACTCAGAAACAGGTTATGATCTCCTTTGTCAAATGTCTTACTGAAATCCAGGTATCCTATGTTCACAGCATTTCACTGGTCCATTAATTTAGACACTTTGTCAAAGAATGAATTAAAGGCCACTTTGACTTTAAAATCAGCCTAGAGTTTGCCCTCCATCCCTTAGCATTTCTGAGAACCAACCCACAGCATTGCCCAGTTTGCCTAAAGAACTCAATAATAGGCAGGTAGGAAAATCAAACTGTAGAAACCACTATTTCAACAATTTGGCAAACACAACACAGTTGTCCAAAATTCTTATAATAAACACACTCTCTCTGGGAGGAAAATATTAGCTTTGTAATCCAACCGATTTTTTTTCTTCATTTCCAAGTAGTTTCACAGATAGCAAAAGTGCTATTGAATTAGTTCTCATTTTAATGTAGAGCTTTGTGGAAACTTATGAGTTCTGTATTCTATATTAGTATCTTCCTTTCCTTCCCCCAAAGCTTTACGCAAGTGAGGAATAAAGCATAAGTCTCCACTCTTTTGGTGTTTAAAAAAATACAGAGATTATTTGATGACTATTCCAATTTGTGTTTTAATCTTCCTAAGCTCAGATGAAATTTAAATTACTCTGAATAATTAAAAGGACTGCATGAATGCATATTTTGTTTGTTCAGAGTCAGAAGTTCAACTTGTATTGAACTACTAGAGAATCTACTCAGTCAGTGAGAAATACCTGTTGTAGGATATGGCTAAATGTCAAACAAACAATTGAAACACCATAATCAGTAGATAATAGTAATTCACAATTGTTTGAATGAGATTCTTTGACGTTTTGATTTTAAATGTGTCCAGAATCAACCTAACACCCATTTGCTAAATTGCAAATCAAACAACACTCTCCTTTCTTCCTGGATTCACCTTTTAACTTAAATTATTCTCAATTTTTCTGTGAATTCTTTGACTTTGACTCCATATTCTTACCAAAACCAAGTCTAAACTGATTTCAAGAGCTAAATTAAATGCATATTCTCCCCTGTTATCTGTAACACCCACCATTACTTGTGTCATTTTTTTAGACACTAAGAATCTTGGAACAGAGACAATCGTTTTAATGATATTTAGTTAAGCATCGTAAGATGCCACTGAATGAATGGCTGAAATGAGGAAAGCACATTTATTTGCATAGTGCAGAACTTGCTGTGCTGATCACAAATTGCCACGGGGAACTTCATTCTAAAAGATATATATTACTGAAGTAGTTAGGAAGGCAGGAAGCTTAGTATAAATTTCTGTCAGAGTTGACAATTTAGAAAGAGGATAGACAGACAGACATAGACAGTTGTATAGATATATGGTTAAAATGAACCGATGTGTTTGTTCCATGTCTGAACTAATGAAACACATATATACGCACACACAAGAATGTATACCTATTTTACACAGCGGCTGCCCAGTAAAGATGATCCATAGGAACAAGAGTATTTAATGTCTTATTTGAATGTGGCTGCATTCCTTCTCAATTTTCCCAATGGAGAATTAGAGACCGCAGTTTGTCGTACGCTTTAAGCAGAAGTTTATCACAGAAATCCGTGACCAAGCATAGCACGGATTAGAAGCAACAGCTATTCGCTTCCGTTTAATTTATTTTCTGCATAAGCTAGGATTCTTTGCCTGATGGCCTAAGGACTGCAGTGGATAATCATCGGACTGAACATTCAAGCAACGAGGCATTAACAATTTGAGGCAAGGCAACTGTGTTTAGAAAATGCAATATGGTTCGGGTTGGAGATGCATGTGTGTGCATTTTTAAACAATAAACATTGAGCCAGCGTATATACGTATCATGCTAAGCCAGGCTAATGTTTTACAAGGAGTGGCACCTGTTCACTCTCATTGACTCCATTCCCTGGGCAATGCAACTGGCAAACAGATGTCACTGCTCAGCTAGAGCATCGCATCTATTCCAAATGCGGGTTACATGCTAATCACAATTACCTAGAGAACATAACCATAAATTAATCTTGGCTACATTCTCTGGTTAGTACAGGCTGGATATAAAGCGCATCCTGCATCCAGAGAATACTCTTAAGTGTAGACACTTGTTTGAATATCAAATTACCTAAAGAGAATGGAAAACAAGGGGCCACTACTCTAAGCTTATACTTAATTAATGTGCTGTTTAAGCATTTCCTGAACACATTTTTACAGAAAGAGAGGGTAATGAGTGCAGAGGTGACACACCAGTAAACTTCAAACAAGTTTCACTCTTACCTATAGACATCAATTGCATTAGCAGTCTAGAAAACTTTTGACCAGCCACATGATTGATAATAACTGTCTTTTCCCGTTAGAAGTCATTTAAATATTTATTTATTATTTTATTTAATCGATTTATAGGCCGCCCAATCCCAGAGGACTCCGGGCGGCTTACAACGGGGAAAAAAGAAATAATAAAAAATGAAAATAAAAACAGGTTAAAATCAACACGCATACATTCATTACAATGAGGTCAACAGCCCCAGGCCTGCCAGAACAGCCAGGTTTTACAGCTTTTCTGAAGGCCATGAGAGTGGGTAAAGTCTGGATTTCTGGGGGTAGTTCATTCCAAAGGGTCGGAGCAGCCACAGAGAAGGCTCTCCTCCGGGGAGCTGCCAGCCGACATTGTCTGGCTGACGGCATCTGAAGGAGGCCCACCCTGTGGGATCTCACCGGCCGTTGGGAGGAATGTGGCAGTAGGTGGTCTCGCAGGTATGCTGGCCTTAAGCCATGTAGGGCTTTAAAGGTAATTTATTTTATTTTATTTTATTTTA